GCTTTTCACGGCGTAATATTCACATTGCGTAGTTACACGTCTCCATGACAACGGAGACAGTCTCATTGTGTACTCAGAATAATGTATTTTTTTTAAATATAACTTAACCCACTGATGATAGTCAGAACAGACAGAATGACGTGTTCTCAAGGAAAATCGAAATAAACGCAAGTTTTAAAATTAATTTTTAATTATAACAAAAGGAATGTCATTGTTAGAATCTTGGCAGGTTTGCGGCCATTTTGTAGTTACTACCGCTCACAGAGCCGCCATTTTACACTTCCCGTGGCGTGTCTGAACATGCATCACCACGTGACCGTTTTTTAACGAAACTCAGTACGAACTGTCACTCATTTTCGTAGATGCAGGAGGAACTCGCGCGACGTTTTAAAAATCAAGTTCTGACGGTGGAGACTGTGGTAGCAAGATATGCTGACGGGGGCTACGGTGGAGTCTGGCGGTGTCTGCGTTTGGAAGGAAACTGGCTTCAGACACAACGAAGATGTTTTCGTATTTAATTTACTTTGAGTTTAAATGTTATAAATGTCGTGATTCAGAAGCAGTTAGGAAATATAATTATAAAATAAATTGTGTCGCTTTTCAAAGGTTCGTTCCCGTCAACTTTGACGGGTAATACAATAGGATAGTATGATAAATGTACATTTCTTAGTCGTTTTTGGGACGTTTCTCGTTTCGACAAATAATTAATGGGATAAATACACAATTAATTTAGGTCTTGGGGCGATTAGGCTGCTGAGTTTGGACGAGAGACGAGTGTTACGTCTAGCAAATCGTTAAATTAGATTTCACGTGCCTTTGAGTCGATTTTCGCTTGGCGTTGCTCACTTTTTTCACGCGAAGATGGCGTATGGGAGAGTCTGCAGCCATTTTGTTTCGACCAATATTGATATGTTACACGTCAGTTATTTTCCTCTGGACGATGTGATGTGCAGTCTGACGCATTTTAATTAGGGTAACTTTTTTTTCTCTGCATTCCAAATTCAATTTAAATGCGGTTTCGTCTGTGCTAATTAAATCTCGAGCTATTTCGAATTCTATAAATAAATGCCGAGTTGACTTGTCAGTAGTTCGAATCCAGAAAAGTGACCATCGGTCTTCTCGTCGTCCGGATTGAAGACAGGGTGTGGTGGACGTGTAGCATGCAAGGGGATATGAAAAATACATATAGAATTTTGGCCGGAAAACCTGAGCGAAAATAAGATGAAGGTATAATATTAAATAGGATCTTAACAGGAATCTTGTGAGTGGGTGTGGTCTGGATCGGTCTAGCTCCGAATCGGGTCCAGTAGGATGCTGTTGTGAACGCGGTGATGAACTTTCTGGTTACGCGAAAGACGCGGAATCTCTTGACGAGGTGAGTAACTGTCAGCTTCTCAGGAATGCAGTTTATATAGTTTAAGGCATGAGCCAGGGTCCTTGAGAAGCTGATAGTCGCTCAGGTAGCGAAGAGATTTTCATTGCCGTGTTGACAAAAGCTCGCCAGTGGCGCAATTTAAAATGAATGACGGGCGTCAATTGATGTTGTCGTGAATCCGTGGTCTTCGGGCTTCGTGAAGGCACTGGAACTTCATCGATTTTGCAATTAAAAGAAGAGACGACGTTTTGGTCCATCGAGCAAGAAACCGGTCTGAGTTCTATCTCAAGATCAAGACTCAGCCTCCTGGCCACTAGTTGTTTAACGAAGTACAGAGAATCTGAAGTCCGGGTCGGCGCTTTGTGTGGCATCCTCCTTCCTCATCCCTTCCCCAGTCTTTCTCGTGCGACTTCCCATTGTCATGGGTTACGAGTGTCAAGGCGGGTCAAGGGTGAGCAGTGGTGATCAGCGCGGGTAGTATAAGCCGTAGGGACTGCGCCCTAGATTATCAACCGAGGGGGGGGGGAGCACAGAAATTTGGGTACAGTTTGCTCTGGTGACGTTTACACTTTCCATTCTTGGCGTGTCGCCTTCTCTCTCTTTTTCTTCACACTGAGCCGGAGAGAGAGAGAGAGAAGTGAGAGAGACTTCGATATCTGGGGGGGAGAAAGAGCATCTTATAGCTAGAAGGTCCCCAGGCAATGCCCGCTCGTCCTTCTGTTAAGGATAAAGTAAGAGTGAAGGCGTTAGTGTGATGATTGGCATAAAAG